TGATATAATAATACTACCATTACAGAGAAGACTGGTCTCTGGACATACAACTGTAGCATTAATTAGTTTACCTCACGTCAATACTGCACATGGAAACCAATGACTTGCTGGTTTACATACTAAAGCCAAGCAAAAAATATTTTTAGTACCTTTTTTTCTTTTTTTTAACAATAATTTCCTTAGCAAATAGCTGTCTTTTGTACTGTATAAAGAAGAATGTGAACACAAATGTGATGGCAACCTTTTTAAGTTCAATTAAAAACTTTACACTGGACTGTACAAGATATTATGATAAACTATTTACATTTTTAGACTTAAAACTTTGTTTTTTTCCAAAAGCAGCAACAGATACTATTCTATATCTCTAACGCACAAACAATAATACCTGCCATGGGTCTATGTACCTGCTGAGAAACCGATCTCTACACACACACACACACACACACACACACACACACACACACACAAAAGACAAAATTAAAGTGTTATCAGGCTGCTAGCAGGATTCGAAACAGGAGTGCACCTAGCGACAGAGGAGCCACACACAGTGACGCTTGAGAGACTACAGAAATCTAAAAGCGAAGTAGCATTGACAACAGCATACGTTGTCCCTGACAGCAACATTTTACTCTTCTGAACAGCAACTAGCATGTCAGTAAATTGTGCTGATTTAAATGAACAAAAACTATCCCACAATATACATCACAAAAGACCATACCAAAAAAAAAAAACATTACAGTAAGATAAGTAGAAACTCCCAAGCTTTGTCCTCAGTTATTGTACCTACGTTGCATTAATAGGGCAGTAATAATTGTGTATTATAAAATAAATGTCATTTAAACTTGTTGTTGACTGGATGGGAAATGGTCTATTAAACACTATGAAGCAACACAGAGAAAAATACTGTATGAAAACATCACATGCACAGAGTGGGTCTGCATTGTGCAGCATAAAAACAAAAAACACACAATCATAAATATTTGCACATCCCCAATGGATTACATGCTCAGCGAGAAACTCACATATGTTTTCAGATGAAGCTGTACTGTGACACGCCACAACTGATGCCCCACAATGACATGTTCTCTCATTCAAATTTGGCACAAAACCAATGATTATATAACTTCAGCAAGTACCTCAACATTTAGAAAACAATTTGTAAAATAAAAAAAGAGAATTACGTTCATGGATTTCAAGATTTGTCCTTTGCTACAGAGTGCACTAACAACATAGCAAATGGCTGGTTAACTTAGCATGGAGTGCGAGGTTCATCACTGAAACACATGGAAATGAGATGGCCGGGTGTCTCAGCTGTGTCTCCAATGCTACTCAATCAACAGGGATGTGAATTTAGCAACTACATGAGGTACAGTGAATTGTGTTTGTGATTTTGTTCTTTTTTCTAAGTACAATGACCAAACACACACACACACAATACATAATTTATACTTCAGTAAGTATCCATGAACAAAAATAGAATTCTATTTTCCTATATTTACAATCAAAAAGAAAAAGAAAAAATATTTTAAAAAGAAACTTTGTTTTGAGCTCCAATCCATTTTGAAATTTCACTGTTTTTATTCTTGTTCTCTGATTGTCCTTTAATTCTGTTCTACTGACACTTTTAGAGCCAATAATGGCTAATAAATACAATAAAATGTCTATATGCACTAGAGAGCTTCAAATACAATATACAACACAATCATACATGACCATCAAAATGTGCTACTGAAGTCCGGTGTGTCTCAGTCGGCCAGTCACTATGCGAGCCTCTCCGTCGAGTTTACGGCTTTCTCCCCTAGGCAGCACTGGAGCTTAAACAAAGTGTTCATTCATCACGCGTCTTTGCATAAATAAACAAAATATGTCAAGAGAAAAATGATTCAAATCTGGCAACTGTGAGGCGTGCTCACATGAGTCCAAACAGGTGACTTGTTCGTGTAGGTTTTTTTCTTTTCTTTTTTTTCTTCCTCACACAGTGGCTTCACATTAGTCAGAATTGATAAAAATACCATTTATATCCAGTGCTTGTAACACTTTTGAATCATTGTCTCCGTGTGAGATTGAAATTGTCTCTTTTTTTTCTTTTCTTTTCGTTTTTTAATCTATACAAGCGCAATCAAGTTTCAGTCCCAACAACAGTCCTTTTGTCTGCTACCAGCCTACAGAACTGGCTTGGCATGGTCAAGGAAATACGTACAAATCACGTACAAATCAACCAATCCACCAGCAAACAGATATAACAGCTTTAAACAATAAACGTTGGCTTGTAAGAAGGGAAGAAAAAAAAAATGAACGCGGATGTCAAGGGACACCCAGCCAAGTATTGTACCTTATGTAAAAATCACAACAAACTTAAACAAAAACCAACCAAATAAAAGGTACAAATACAAGCGTCTTAAGAAGTGCTCAAAACTTCTACGAATTAAGTAAATGCTTTTCAAAGAGGGGCGCTGAGGAGAAAAGTCAATGCTTCAACTGCTGGGAGAAGTAAGCGCTAAATAGCCATCGGTACCTTTTAGACCTTTGGAGGTAATGCAGTGACCAGCAGCCTCGCTGTGACATTTCCTGTCTATTCTAATCTCTGGGTTACTGATGAAACAGACAGGTTCAAGGGCAAAGGCAAAATAGCGGGACTCATGCATTAATAATGCCGTATTTCAGATGATACCAACTCGTCAGTCATTTTAATAATCCCCCACAGCTTGATCTACTTGTTCCATCTGCTCACTAGCACCTCGTGGCTGCTTCTGGCCGCGGCCTTTCGCGAGCGCTTTGATGGAGGGAGGGCACAATAAACCACATGGGCCTCGTCTCCATTGTTCACTACCTTTCTCCTGGGCACGGGCCGATGCCGGGAGCCAGATGGCAGCCCCTTGAGGCAGGGTGTGTGCTGGGCAGAGGTCAGGTGAGTGGAGGTGAATGGCACTCGCACCCTGTAGGAGCTTTCAGTAGGGCCAAAGCCTAAAACAAGAGGCCCTGACCGCTGGCTGCTTCTTGGCTGTCCTTCCACATGGAAACAACCTGAGATCTATTCTGCTGCCGGAACGAGCAGATCAGTTAGTAGAACACAGGACTGCCTATTTGAATTGTCTTTTTTTTTTAAGTGCTCAAAAAAGATTGAATCCAAGTTAAATGATTTAAATTGCATTTTCAAATGTATGTTTCTGAACATATCTTTAAATAAATACAATTAAAGTATCTCAAATCCACGTACCCTTTGAAAATGTGGAAAATAAGTGCCATTATTCATTTTCTCCTTAACCCTCTGCATAACTGGCCAAATCATCCTGATAAACTGGACTTTCTCTTAAGACATAATGATGAACACACTGCAGAAGCCCAAAGGGCATACACTCTGCTTTAAGACTATTTCTGTCAGTTAAGATTACAATGTCTACAAGACTTAAGCGTAAATAAAAAACTTTAAACATGCTGCCCTGGAAAACGGGCTAAAGATTTAGCAGAATGTGTGCGTACATATTGTACAACAGCAATTTGCGACTGTAATACACCAAAGCTGCCTTTCGCTGCCTGTTCAATTCTGCAGATTGGATGCCATTTGGCCCCTTGGCATTCTGGCCTGATTACAATCACTGTGATTAAGAACTGAGCGGGTAAGACTGAACTAGACGACTGAGAGAAGACGAGGGCGGTGGTCGGGCGATCACTGCATTGAACCTCCTGGAGAACTATGGCATTCTTAGTTCCTGAGCATTTGGACATGGTAGTCAATGGAGAGGACAAAAAAAAGAGGGAGGAGGAGGAAAAAAAGTGGGCTTTGTAGATAAGATTGCAAGGATTGTCTAAGACTCAAGCAGTCTCTCCCTTAAGACTTTCAAATTTAAGATTTAAGAGCAGGAAGCTTATGATATGTTTGGCACATCTGGACTTGTAGTAGTAGTAATAATAGTAATAATAATAACAAGAACAATAATAATGGGGAGTTTTAGGCTTTCCCTCTATGGTTCAGCAAATGTAAGGATTTCTTCAGTTTTCTCGTATTATGAAATGTCAAATGAAGTGTCGTCTTTTTCATTTGAACTAGTTCTGATTAAAAACATTCACAAGCTGTTGGCTGGTACAGCATACCTGAGTGAGATATAGAACCCCATCGAAAACAGTAATGTACGCTTCAAAAGAAAAAAAAAATACATGTGTAAATCCATTTGAATTTAAGTAAGACTGTTTCAAGAATGTTTCAATTGTCAAGTCCTATTATTCAAAAATGTCGTAGGAAATACCCTAAATTGTCCATGATCAAAACACAAGAAAAAAAATTCATTAAAATAATAATAAAAAAAAAGCCAAAATAAAACACAATCAAATTGTTTCACACTTGGAGAAACAGTTAAGACCAATAGCTGTTAAATCTGCAGGAGCCACATCTGCATGCTGGCTCCCAAAATGTATATCATCAGAAACAAGTTTTTTGAATTCCTTTTTTTTTTTTGTCCTCTTTTTCGTCTTCTTCAGTCTTCCCTATAATAAAAGGATATTCTTCGCTGGCTGTTTTCGCCTCAGTTGGCACTGACCGGCTCCTGTGTGTCATTCTCACTGCTGTAGTCCGATTTGGGCTCGTCCTCAAAGTCCTCGTACATGTCCATCTCATCCTCTCCGTTCACAGGGGCGTTAGACACCATGGTGCCCGGTTCCATCTTCATGTTGAAGGTGCTCTGGATGACGGGGATGGTGGGCTCGGGGCTGGCCGAGGCACTGGAGCAGTCTGATGTCATGTGAGGGGAGGGCGTAGTGGTCGCCATGGTTATGGCACCGGGGTAGACGACGCCTGCGCTGGTGGTGATGGGGATCTGCGTCTGTGGCTGCTGCCTGATACAGAAGTGAAGAAACAGACACATTTACGCTTATGAAGTGCCAGTATGCTCAGAAAAGCATAAGAGCTTTTAAGAGATGGATGACAAATTTAAAGCTTCACAAGGAAAACAATTACGGTCTCGGGGAATTCGAGAATGGAAAGAATGTACAGAAGCACACAAAACGCTGGTTGAAAGCATAAAGCCTGTGGAGTTTTAAACGCTGGCTTGAATGGAACGTGCCCAGCCAGTAGTCCTGTAAAAATGATTCCCAATCAGCGACAACGATTTGGGAACGATTGTGAAAATGACACTCATTCATTTCAGGGTGACAAAGCCAATTGGTTGGTAGAGAGACAGTCTCCTGATCTTTAACAGGCTGATTGATACTCCAGCGCTCGTATTTCTTGCTGTTGAAGTGGAAACACCTGGAGCAGGCATTTTCTCCACTCACCACACGCAGTAAATTATAGAGTTGAGCTCCAAACATCTGCCCTGCAGCCCTCTCTACATTCATACTCGACTAATATCCTAAAATAATGGATATGTGAGTCCCGCTGCCCTCTGTTACCATCTAAATGTGATAAACCACTACTTTCAGGTAGCTGAAAGAAAATACTATTTTGTCAATTGGATTCAACCCAGGGCCATATAGTGCATTTCCCCTCCTTTGAGAAAAAATAAATTTACCACAGCATATAATCACAAAGGGAGTGTGTAGGCAACAAAAGGCTGTGCCCGCATTGCTTCAATGCGTATATTAATATTAAGTGCGAGGGCCATATAATGTGACAAATGAGCTAAGTGGTTGAATTACTCCAATCAACTTGATTAAAGGGTCACTGGCTTTACACCAGGAGTTGGCACATGGTATGGAGTCATTACCTGCCTATTGTGAGAGCTCTAAGCTGGCTTTATTAACAGCGTATAGGGGTTTAAGAGAGGGCAGGGCATCTTGGACAGTCGCCTGCTGTTGTTCATGGCGTTTGTTCCACCGTGTACCTACCCCACAGTGAAGAACTGCCTCATCTCCTGCCTCCTCGACCTCATCATCTGCTTGTACTCGCCGATGCGCAGCTTCTTGCCATCGATGATGCAGGTGCGCTTGGGCCGGGGCTTGTACTTGTAGTTGGGATACTTCTCCAGGTGGATCTTGCTGAGCCGTGCCTGCTCCTCATAATATGGTTGTTTCTCCTGGTTTGTCATGGACTTCCAGCGAGATCCTGTTGACCACAGGTTAGGAGTGAGAAATGATCATTGCAGATTTTTTTTTTTTTAACTTCGGACTTCTAATGATATTTTATTTTGTTTTTAACTTTTTTTTTATTAAATACAATTTAATAAAATGAATAAACAATGTTTTTTTTCAATGGAGAAAGAATGACTTCTAATTATATTTTATAACAAAATTGTAATTTATTATAAAAACATATTTATGATTTCAATAAATTTTAATAAAACTAATAAAGTAAATAATGATATCTGAATGTATTTTTACATTTACAGACAAAATGAGCTTTGAGAATAACTGCATTATTCTGAGGCAAGCACTGCTTTTGTGAATGGAGGGTAACAGCATTACTGTTACCGTTTCTGCATTAGTGAAAACAACAGGCTAGTAAATATCTCCAGCCTTCAGAACGTCTGGGCTGACGGCTCTTTTAGTTGCTGTGATCTATTGACTCTCTGGACTAGGGGACAAGACCCATTTAGCCCTGTCATTTTTCATGACAAACACTGCCCACGTGACAGCCACTAAATCCATCTAATTGAGCTGCTCCTGCAGGCATCTAGCCATCCAGTTTAACTGCGCTCATCTGTTTGAGATGCATTGAATTGTGTGGAATTACTTGCAAAAGAAGATTAGGCAGGTGTGGTAATAGCCAGAACATTTTATTCACAACATATGTTTTGCTTAGTAGCTATGCAATGCTTGTCTATTGATTGTTAAGAGTGGAAAAGCTGGCGTGGCGATATTAATTTGCATATTTTGTGCAATTCAAGGTCCGGTGTACTACAGCTGAAATATCTAGTCAATCAACATAACACTCAGCCTTTCTTAAAGGTCCAATTCAGCTACATTTTAGCCTTGTAAGTCTTGGTTTTGGTCCAGAACAGTGGGATGTTTCAGTTTGGTAAAAACAGACCCTCCATTTACCTTAACAGAGGTTCAGTGATTCTGCTGTCCTAATTCATGCTGATATTATCAGTGTCTTCATAAGGATATATTATTGGGGGGGGGGGGGGGGGAGTATGGAAGTATTCACTTGTATGGAAAGTATGTAAATACACAGTATGCTCACTTGGTACATTATTTTATCAGATGACATGTGCTTAAACTACAATGGAAACTAATTTAATTCATTTCTAAATGCACATCACCAAAAGTCACGTGACTTTGCCTTGAGTCTGCTTATTTCACAATTGTTTTTGCAATATTCCACTTTTTTTTCTGCTAATAGTTATTTCAGACCTTGTATAGAAACTTAGCCTATCATTCCTTGAATAGTTATTTCGAAAGCAAGTAAAGTAATTTCAATAAGTAAAATGACGGTTTAAACGGCTGTGTTAAGAAAGACTATTGGGTTAGCGTGATCCAAAACAAGCAAAGACATTTTCAACAATTTCTGAAGCACTCTACAATAGTTCCCAAGATACCAGTTCAGTTTATTGTTATGGAGCATGGCTTAATTGTAAATGGAAAGGCTAACACAGACGGCCATGGCTGCTGGTCGTGACTGATTTGGGGGCTGTGACTTACCCAATATTTTGCTGATGTTGGAGTTGTGCATGTCTGGGAAGGCCTGAAGGATTTTGCGGCGCTCATCTTTGGCCCAGACCATGAAGGCGTTCATGGGCCGTTTGATGTGAGGTTCGTTGCTGTTCCTTCCCCGGGGTTCCCTGTAGACCCGTGCATCGGCAGTACTGGCGCCTCCTGTTGGCCAACAATAATACTGATGTGGTTTATCTGCAGAGCCATTCAGTTCCTTACACCCTAGGAACACCAGAGCAAGAAGGAGAGAGCGAGTGCAGACCGTTAATCAACTTAGTAGTGCAGTGCATCCATCAGCCCATCAGAGTGAATGGAGCTGAACCAGAGAAGCTGGATTTGGAGATTCCGAGAGGCCTGCAACTGTACCTTATACTCCAGGCTGCCCATCCCAGAATTGGATGGGACAAGCCCATGTTTTGCAGTGTAGAACAAGACAGCATTGTGGGTCGAGGAACTACTGATGAGTGAAAACTAGCTGAAATCAGACGAGGAGGACCCTGGCTATAAAGTCTTTTAAATATTTTGTCTGGGTCACAACGTTCGTACATTCGAACAGCCGTACATTTCTGGATGACTGTCATAATGTTTCTCCTGCTATGAGTAATAACGGTAATGCTCTTAATAACAAATATGGCATAAGGGTGTTTGTGTAAGAGAGGTAAAATTAGAAGAGAGGATCACTGCCAATGTCCTGACAAAACATATAATGTTTTTATATTTATATGCCATGTGATTACTTTCAATGTGCATACAGAGTCTGACAAAGGGCAGATCTAGTGGATAAACATAAGATGGTACCTGAAAGGTACAGTAAAGTATAGTGTACAGTACAGTACAGTGTATTACAGTAAAGTATAGTAGAGTAAAGTAAAGTAAAATAAAAAAACAGATATAAAGTACATAAAAAAATAGTTTTTTCTATTAAAATGATCAGAGGTTTTACACACTTATTCGTATGCAGAGTTAGTGAATGTGGCCTGGTGTGACGTGACGTGTGACCAAGTATGGTGACACACACACCGTGAACACACCTGGAGCAGTGGGCAGCCATTTTATTGCTACGGCACCCAGGGAGCAGTTGGGGGTTTGGTGCCTTGCTCAAGGACACCTCAGTCGCGGTATTGAAGGTGGGAGAGAGTGCTATACATTCCCCCCCCCCACCTACAACCCCTGCCGGTACGAGACTCGAACCCGCAACCTTTGGGTTACGAGTCCGACTCTCTAACCATTAGGCCATGACTTCCCCCAATGTATGTCTGTAACTCCTCAATCAGGCCATTCACAATCAGCATGTGTGTCCCCCAGTTTCTGTATTTAACTTTACAGCAGAGCATGCACATTTGCTTCCTTTTATATGTAAGATGTGAAAGAATTAAATAAAAGCTGTATGAATATTTCAACAAACAAAAACATGTTGATAAACAAGGCTTGAAAAATAAAACAAACAAACAAAAAAAAGCCTTCCCATATGCTACGATACATCTTTAATGATCCAAAACTGGATAAGAAGGCTTGGAATCAGTCATGAATATTTCATCATCCACATGTGATGTGTATTCATTAGGACCCTGAAACTTCAAGTCTTGGCACATGGTACCTGCTTTTGATTTCTATTATCACTAGTGTTGATAAACAAAATTAAATCTCTAGCTAAGTAATGGATCTTGGCACCACACCGCTATCAAAGCACTGGGATACCGAGATTATTCAGAGGGCAGCGCATTGCTCTAAGGAGGAGGAGCTGGAAAATAGGCAATGTTCAAGAGTTACCTTCTCTATACACACACACACACACTTGTGCCACATTGGGGCCCTGAGAGAGAAAGAGACAAAATTCCAAGTTTCAGGCAGCCAGCAGGAGGCTCTATCCTCCAGGCCCTGCTGGGCAGAACAGCTTTGCCCAGGGCCCAAAAGATCCATTTACACATGTCATGTTTAACAATCATAATAATCCAGAAAGGGCTGCTGTTTATCTGGCTGCCCAGCTCCACACAGTCATGGTGCATCAGTCAGGGTCTCTCTGCTCTTTCCTCTCCACAACTTTGTACCACCAAACACACTACAAGCAGCCATCTCGTTCCAGCCCACTCCCGGCCCCTTTCGTCGGGATTATACGGTGACGGCGTTCCCCGCACAGTACATTAATTTCATTTAGCACGCGCTCACCGTGCAAGATAAATTGATTTCACTTTGTTTGGCTTTGACAGCCATGTTTATTGTGCAATGAAATGTAGTGTGGCGTAGGGCTGACAGTATCCATCAACGCTGGGCAATCTGCTGACTGCCGAGGCCAGATGAAGGCATTCATTACCTTGCCAACCCCAGCTCACTCGCTCGGCTACCTCACCCAGACACGACCGCCACTGTCTGTTCAAGGGGAGGGGCATGGCCGGCTCTAATTTACGATTCGCCCCGTGCCATTACTTTACCACTGACACTGATTCAGCAATTTATATACTGGCATGCATGCAGAAATAGGCAAAGGTGAGCAGCTTATATGCAGGAACCCAGCAGCTGGACTTTTAAATTGCAGATCGGATTCAATTCTCTGTTTCACTGAGAGAGGGCGGGAGCAACTAGGGTTGGCTGTATTAATCAGCTCATGCCCTATTGTTGCTGTAGTGCGTCAGCAGACAGATTCAACACTCTCAGTCATTTGAGTGGATCGCAGGAATGAGAGCCGACTTACAGAGTGCCGGTGCTCTGCGGGACGAGACGAGCGGCGGCCCCTGGCACAGAGCCTTGATCGCAGACACGGGTGGTCCGTGCCCCCCCCACCCCATTGCAGTCATGATGTGCCTTAATCAAAAGCAGCCAAAGAGTTGGCAGCGAGGTAGGCTCGTGCGACGTCACCCCACATCTACAACAACCAATTTACAACCCTCTGCTTTTTTTCTTGCTTGTTGTTGTTTAATAAGAAAGCTTACATGCTTCTGACATTTACAAATTAGCATTAATTGACGTTTTCCCCCCCGTGCAGCTCTTTTAGGAAGCACCTAGTTAGGTGTGTTATTGTATAAATAAATGCAGATGTTTCAGGATGCCACGGGAGACCCCCTGAGGTGCGTGAGGGTGGGCGGGCGAGACGGCAGGAGGCTTCTAATCGACTTTATTGTGATTTATGAGACCCAGTGCCCAACATGACAGAGTGATACAAGAATCTCTATTTAATTTGTCTCTCCCGGTGAACAGGAGGGAGAGTGGAGGGGGACTGTATTACAGAGAAAGAGAGAGAGAGCTTGCGTGGAAGTATACGAGCGAAAGGGGCCCCGCGGCCCGGCACACCTGCCTGCAGCAGGCCCAGACACGATGGTACGTGGAACGGAGCCAAAAGGCTGAGCCTCTCAGGCTCTCGGTGCAGCTAGCCTTTTGTTCTGAGGGCACACACAGACTGTCACTCAAGAATCCGCATGGAGAAACAAGCAACAATCACGCAAACCTGCCAGGCCCTCTGCGGACGATCCAATAAAGAAAGAGACGCCTTTCTGCAAAGGTATTCAGTGCTGACAATGGGAGTCTCTCCTAATGCATACAGACAGATATGACACAATGCTCTGCTCTACCATTCATGTCAGCACTCATATTCTGCTAATTAAGCCATTATAACTTACACGTGATTGAAGCCCCCCACTTTAATGTGCCAATTGTTGAGTTGCACCCAGCTGGATATTTGGAATTCTGCTCTGTGTGTGAGAGAGTGTAAACGGACAAAAGCGCGACTTGTTAGCGCATGTTTCTTTAAGCTATTGTTTCTCATGCATCTTGCCCTGGATGTTGTAAGGTCTTGAAGAGGGCCATGCTAAATTCCTTTTCGCAGTACACCATTTCAGAGACTGCCGAAGAAAGGAGTCCTGGGCTGACATGCAGACTTTAGAGACAGTAAAACTGCATAAAGAACTGGCAATGGAAATGCTGGGAAAGCACAGACAGACACAAGACACACACACATGAGTGTGATAAAACTGTATGTTTTGATCTATGAATTTCTGACTCAGAAAAATAAAAAATAAAAAAAAGATAATATTCATTCTTGCAATTGTAAGTTTATGTCTCAAATTGGTAGTTTATTTGCTTGCCATATATTATGTTATATGACTTTATATGTCTTTTTTCTTAGGCCAATTTCTTTTTCTTTTTTACTAAAAGTTTAAAAGTTTTTAAGTTGTATTTTTTAGTCTGTGGCAGTAATGGGCTTCCATATTCACAACCATTCAAAACGTTGTTGTCAGTAATATTTATTTAATTACATTTATTCAGCAGGGACACACTGAATTAATTACAGTAAAGACATGTATGATGTTACATAAGATTTCTCTTTGAAATAAATTGTTATTTTGAACTTTCTATTCATACAAAAATCCTACAAAAATAACTGTATCATGATTTATACAAAAGCAAATTAGCATATTAGAATAATTTCTGAAGGATCATGTGACACTGAATACTGGAGTAATGGCTTCTGAAAGCTTTGCTTTGCCATTACAAGAATAAATCACATTTTAAAATGCATTAAAATAGAAAACAGTTTTAAATTTTTTTATAATATTTCACAATATTACTGTTTTCTGTATTTTTGATCAAATAAAGGCAGCCTTGGTGGTCATACAAGACATCATTTTAAAATAAATAAATAAATACAAATTAAAATCTTACAGGCCACAAATTGTTGAATAGTAGTGTAGATCCTTGTATATTCTGTGTTCTTTTTATGACATAATATGGTGCTGTTTATCATACTCCTTTATACAACGACTTATCTATTCTATATTTATTCTATAAATCGTCTAACACACAAAATGTCTGATTGAGCTATTGGTTTCTTTGCTTTCACTGCAGTGAACCTCAGATTGCTACCCTATAATAATTCAGTGATAACCTTGCCACAATTTAGCCATATGCATAAATAATACAGCATTAACATAGCTCAGAGATCACATAGTCATCGTTCATTTTGGCCGGCATTGTCTCAAAAGTGTGCTGATATTACCTCAACTTCCTGCCCCTGGAATCTCGCAACACATCCTTTGTTCTGCTAAGACCCCCGTCTGACAGAGATAGTTTAAACACACGCACGACCCGAGCCTTTCGGCAAACAAAACTCATACGCTGCCATAAGTGAATGAACAAAGGGGCCATACTAAAGCCTTTTGTGGTATTAGTTAATGTTTTTCATCTGAGCTTAAAAAGACCTAATGACTTTGCGGTGAGCTGATGCATGTGGCTCGTGGCTTTTTGCGAAATGAAGGAAATTCTATCTATTTCCATACCCCACCGTTATTTTCCAACGGCCTCTCTCTCGTTAGAACTTTGGCAGCTGTTAATTTGGTTGCTGCATGCTTTGCAAATATTAGTTCAAGCAACCTAAAGCTTTCTGCGAGTTACAGCATTGACAGAGAACTGTTTTACACCCTGAGCCTTTTCCAATATAATGTGTCTTTTCAGCAGGCAGGACCTCTGTACAAGGAAGCACACGGCCTTTACGGACCCACTCAGTAATTTTCCTCTGCTCTCCATGGCAGTTACTGTATGAGTCTGTTTGCGCTGTTAAAAGTGTCAAGAAATGTAATTCTCAAATGGTAGTTTTCTACTTAGCTGATAAATCATTTAAAGTGCATTAAAAAAATAGCTAGCTTATATTGACGAAGCCCCAAAGCTTCTGAACAGAGTAGTGTAATAAAACAAAGACTAGTTGCAAATAAAAAGGATGAAGAGTTGCCTTTTTTAAGCGTAGGTATCGCATACACAGTGCTCACATTCCTCAAATGTTCAGGGAGAGGAATGAAATTTGTTTGACTTGGTCTATCTAAAAAGGCTCTAAACACAAAAACACACAAGTAAACACTCCATGTTTCCCAACGGGTAAACACATTCTCCTTGTAAAAGAGACTATTTAATGTGGGGCATATCATCATAAAATGCCGTTCACATCCTTCATCTCGATGTGTTTGCGGGAAGATGGAGATGGGGATGGCTCTGAGAGCTCAGTGAAGCCTGTCTACTGGGATGAGAAACCTCTGTGGCCTTCTAATCCTGTCTGTACTGGGAGTAAACTGACAGAATGTTCTCCGTTCCTTCACCTCCACTTCGGACTTTAAAGGAACTCTGCATCACTTGGGTGGCTGGGTGCCCTCAACCCTGCCACTGACTGTTCTGGAGCCCACAGGAGACGGGTTCCCACTGTGTTGGAGGACCTGAGGACCCAGCTTTCTCACTGATCTAAGAGGGGCGGGACAGGCTTCTTGGCGAGAATCTGCTCTGGTCTGGTTAGAGCAGATCATGCCAGACCAGAAAAAACTGCATCTCTAAACCTCTATTTACAGATTTGATTTCAACCCAGCCAAAATAAATTATTTATGCTTTAGAAAGCTCATAAACAAAAAGAGTTATGTGAGGCTGATCATCTTACGAAAAAAAAAATCTATTGTTCACGCAATGGATTTAAAGGCTTATTGTAAAAAAAAACATAACATAATTATATGAAACTTTAATTAAAATGTTTTTATTTCTCCATATATTGGCTGTAGATTTCCATGGGAACTGTTACAATTATATTACACAGGAAAAACACTGGCACGTATTAGCGTTCTGTTTATGAACAGGGTGACAAAAGGAGCTGACGCCTCGTCATGTAAGTTCTATCATCATTTACACCTCCACACCCAGCACATCAAACATGAGCTGTGGCAACAGAGCCTGGTCTTGGAGAAGGGCCAGTATTGTCATCAAGAACTAGCTGTGAAAACTTTAAATACAGCCCTGCTCAATGCACTACCCCCATCAGCTTTCCCTGACACTGGCCAAGCAACCGTGGAATCCAGTCAATCTGATCATGTGACTGAACTGTACCTGACCTCATTCCTCAAAGCACAACAAAGAGAATTAGTGAGCAGTCATGTTATGTTTTCAAACATCACAAATAGATACTTACCCTCGAAATCCTCTGGCCTGGTGAGGTCGATGACTCTGTGACCAATCTTTCCATCCTCGCCTAGTTTGCTCAGGTGATGGCCCAGGTTATTGTAATGAGACCTCTCCTGCAAAAATGACAGAAAATTTGTGTTCAGATACAGCTTCCCGTCTACAGATATTTAGTGATTTGTCCTTATGCACCACATTGCATGCTAAAATGTGTGATTAAGAAAACTGTATTCATTTAGGTCTTAAGTTAACATGAAACCTGCCTGCTTCATGTTGCTTAAATTAGAACAGGCTGGGAAATTATGTGTTTTTCCACAATGCTACAATGACCATAACCTTAAATAATTCATTTAATAAATGTAGCAAATTACTACGACTAATTATTCATATTATTCAATTATTATTCTTATTATGATTTAATTCAGTTATTTTACATGTGTAATGTATATGCACACAGACACAAATATATATCCATTATATTTATATTATATACAAATATATATTTTTATGAAAACTGCAATGTATTATTAAAAACTAAATTTATAGCAGTTATATTAATTTCTTTCAATTTCATTAGATTTTAATTGTACAATTAAAAAATTTAAAAGGCACTTTGAATTCAATACTGAATGGCACACAACCCTACAGGACACACATGCTCTTCGCATGCATTTTGATGGGCTCATGTGAAGTCATCTTTATCACAGCTGTAGTCTCTTACTGTCTTCATCTGCAGGGACTTGTACCGATAAGAGTCTGGAACACTCTACTAGAAAAGAAACAAAACTCTGAAAGATCCTGAGCACACAATGCAGCCTGGGACCTCCAGTGAAATGTTCAGCTTACTTTTTTCTTTTTCGGCTCTCTAATCTTTGCAGTACATGCCCCTGTCTCTGCTGCCCTGAGCTTCCTGTCTATCATTTATTTAAGGCTCATGCTTGGAGGAACACGCCATGTTTTCCCTTTTGTCGTGTTGCTTTCTGTTCAGATTAAACTTGGCATCATGTCGCACTTGATGCACAATAAACCCCTGTCATTCCTCACCCGTGCAACAATATTAAATGTCATGTCCGTGTGCATTTACAGAATAAAATAACAGCTTTTGGGGGCCCTCCTGAATGGTTTCAGCACATTAGACTTAATGTATTATGCAGAAGAAGAGGGCAGACCGCTGCTCAGGCCCATTGTTAAATGACCTAGTTCTGCCGTGAGTGCAGCAGGGCATTAGTGGAGGCCCGTCTCGCTCTCTCTAAAGACTCGAGGAGGAGATGGACACTTTGACTCTGCATGATACAAGTAATCTCTCCCCCCTCCGAACAGGGCAGGCAGATACTCAAAGCAATGTGAGTTACGGTGAGTCGGCCCCAGAGCGTTTGTTCTTCTCCCAGGGTGTGCATTCAATCTCAGGAAAAAGGTGTGCTTGAATTGTCTTTTCTTTAGAGAATGCCTATCACACACAGTTTGAACAGACACTCGGGTGGCCTCCCAACACAATGCTAACAGCTCCCCTGCCACAGACGCAGACACAGATACCAACGTACACATTAATCTTTCAGCTGCGCTGCTTTGGACGTTTTGCTCGTTTGTTTGTTTTCTGTTCTTTTTGCCACTGGGGAACCCATGGAGTGTGGAAGCTCTTCACACGGCAAAAGATTATCACTCAGGCTCAACTTGTCAATAGCTCATGACAATAGTGGATTACTTGGGATGATTCTGTGCTTATTACTGTTGTCACTTTAAACAGACTTTATTTTCACTGAGGGGCAAATTCACAAGACATTTCAGGCACATTTGTGTGTGGTATTTCAGCATAAAAACCTGTGTGACGTTCACTAACCACCTGCAATCAAGTTTACAAAAGGTTGTAAATGCACTTAACTAGTCCTGTAAATATTTAAATGATGTAACTGTCATTCTTTTCAGTGCAAACATGCCTTTTTTCTATGTCAATTGGGCCCATTATTAGGCCCAGACTATTTGAACTATTTCATACGGATTTTTAAAACACTGCTGTTTAAAAATTTGCAAGAAATTAATACTTTTATTCAGCAAGGATGTATTAAATTTATCAAAAGTGACAGTAAAGACATTTCTAAAGTTACAAAATATATATATATATTTTTTTTAAAATGCTGTTCTTTTGAACTTTATATTTAGAATCCTGAAAATAATGATCACAGTGTCTATAAAAAATATTAAGTACAGTAATTTTCAACAATGATAATTATAAGAAATAAGAGCACCAAATCAGCATATTAGAATGATTTCTGAAGGATCATGTCACAATAAAGATCACGGCTTTGCCATCACAGGAATAAATGGTATTTTAAAATATATTTTAATGGAAAATTATTATTTCATTCATATTTCACAATATTACTGTTTACTGTATTTTTGCTCAAATAAATGCAGCCTTAGTGAGCATATAAAACCTTTTAAAAACATTTAAAACAATCTTACCAATCCCAAACTTTGAATGGTAATTTACATTGTTTTAAGAAAATGTTTATTTGCTTCAAATAATGTTGCGCTATTACTGTCCATTGAAAGCAGGCCTTAAAACAATAAATGCTGCTTTAAGCTGTTACAAATTCATTCATTATAAAATATCTGAATTATCTGAATTAGCACAAGCATCAGAGTGATAGAAAGAAGAGCTGTAGAGAGAGAGAGTACTGCAATTTCCCACCACCACGCTTGATGGAACAATCATTATTTATGGCCATCTGAGTGATTCTGATGTACAATTAACCACTACCTGCTTATGGCCTGTCATTAAGAGCTGCCTGTCTTGACTTTGCCTTGCTTATTTAAGTGTTTTCTAATTATGACATATGTAGCGGTTCCCGCTGGGCTCAGGCGGCTTTGTAAAAATAAGTTGGAGTGCTAGCTCGGTGTGCCACGCTCCGTGTGAAGCCTCCTACGCTGCTGTATTCATCACTAGACCACATTATTGCACTTAATGAAAGAGGCGCAGCACCCAATGACAAATTGACTGATGTGCAATTAGTCGCACGAGCGATGGCCGATGTGCCGTGGACTGTCCACTGGGGAAGGGCCCAACAACTGCAGAGTGTGTGTGTGTGGAGGGGGGTTTATAAATGACTTGCTTGTGTCATCTCCTCCTCCCCACTCTGTTGGCTTACTCTGATCAATCAACTCCTTTTATAAAGTCATGATCATTAAACATCAGTTTGGGGAACAAGGGGCATCAATCACTGAGTTTCATTAAAAACGGTTTAGCTGCTAAACTCTCATTTTCCAGAACAATAATTAAAGAATGAGCCAGACGGGAGCTATTGTACATGAAAACAAGATTAGACACTTCAGTGTCTCGGGTCTAACTTAATAGAGTGAGGTAGAGAGTTCATTCATGCCTAGGAAGTGCTGATATCCACATAAGATAGAGATAGTAACACTGTTACAGTGCACATTAAAGATTATGTAATTGAGAAAGTGAATATGAACATAAAAACTGATGTGCACACCTTCAAACATCGTACAATGAATTTCCATTAAATTTAATATACTATGTTTTATATACTTATTGGTTGTAACTTGTAATTTATATCGTAGCATTATCGAGAGAATTCATTTATATGCATAACATCAGGCTTTTTGTTTGAAGACTCGAAAAGAAATCGGGCTACAGCGCCTTTACTACTGTCTGCATCAAGTGCTGATAAATCAATGGCATTTTTATTATTTTATGGTGTCATTAAATTTTTACTGATCACTTTGCCACAGAAGAGCAGTAAAGGGTATGTACCATCCTGAAAAAGGACCGTCCAGCCAGGCAAATGCTCACCAGCAGATCTCTGCGACCATTGTGCTATAAAGGATATTTATAATGTGCATTACGGCAGTGAGATGGCAAGAGCTTAGAGTCTCCGCAAGTACAGAGAGAAGGAGAAAGGGAAAGGGTGGTTAGGGAAATGAAAAAAAAAACCGGAAACAACGCAAAAAAGAAAACATGTCATGGTACACGTTGTGCCCCTCCCAAGCTAACCACGACCTCTCTGGCGCACGGCTAGCCCTTCCCTCAAATGAGTTCAGCATGCAGCCCTTCATTCCCACATCTAAAATTATAACCACACAGTCCTAAGCTGAAGTGGAAAAAGACACCCACAATAATCTCCCCTCCACTATCCTTTTTCCCCTCCATCCTCAAATTCGGTTACAGAATGCATTTTGTTTCGACGGAGGAGGGTTGCATGGTGAAGTAATAACACAGAAGGGCTGATGGCAAGGCTGGTGGAACTTCTGAACATCTGGAGGGGAGCCAGAGCGAGGAGCCCATGTCAGCGCAGCGGAGAGGGCTTTAATCAGGCCGGCCGCAGAACATGTGCCTGAGGACTGCAGTACTGCCCGCAGATTCTGTGTATTTCGGGCAGAAGCGCATTGTGCTGGTGTCTACCCTGTACTTATACATCACACTGCCCTAGAGTGACGCTTTTCCTCTGGTAAAAATAGCCCGGCTTCAGCCATATGGCCTTAAATTGTTCCAGCCGGGTCCAGATAACGGCAATTGTGAAACAACCAAAGACTGACCTTGGCCGCACAAGCATGTCGACTTAGTAATCTGCCTTTACTGTTTCCCAAAGGCACATGGCTAATATCATAACCTGGTAAAAAAAATAAATAAATAAGAAGAAAAAACACAATGATCAAGTGAATAACTGTTTGTTCTATGTCCTTGCCTGGATTCTGAATGCTGAGAATACAGTGTGTTCTGTCAGTTCCACACCTGGCTGAGCGATTCAAGTGATAGAGGAAATAAAGGGAGGCTTTGAAAGCCTATAACAATGAATTCTGACTGTGTGTATACGTGGTATAGTTTGCTTCAGCCATCTTTATTGAGAGTAAGGCCCTGCAGCAAAGGTCTATTTTGCCCCTCATCTGCTTTCAATTCCCGCAGTAACCAATCACAGTGTTATTTATAATTGTGCAGCTTTCCAGTAGTTGGTAGTTTTGAAACGTTTAGTCTAAAGCACATGCAGTTGTGCGCCGAGCCCAGCCTTTCATGCGGTCGCTCAGTTTTTATACTCGAGCAGTAGTCCATGCTTCTAGGCTCCCAGAGCGGGTGCTGGCAGAGCGTGTTTGAGGCTGCAACCTC